GGGCTGTTACACAGAGAAACCCTGTCCCGAAAAACAAAAACAAACAAACAGACAAAAAAGTGGAGTGAGGATCTTTCTCTTGGTGACAGATAGGACTGTTGGCTTCTCTCGTCAAGCCAGACCCTCGCTTCTCCCCTAGGCCCAGAAGCCCAATCCCAGCACTCACCTCAATTCTACCATTTGCGTTGTGGACTCAGAAAGCACTCCCAACCTCTAGCAGACAATTGGCCCCAGGTAGTGTTTGAACAGGCCTGGGAAGCCAAGGGGTTAGAACCGTGACCTGCCTGCCAAGCTCTGCCCGGTAGCTAGGCAGGGATGGAAATCTGCCAGATTCTAGTCGAAAAAAGACTATGGAGACCCAAGCAGGAGGAACAATTTCCATGCTTGGAGCACCTGCGACATGGAGCAGGCTAGGGTCATCCTCACCTTCCATCAGAATGGGCCATCCTCACCTTCCATCAGAATGGACGAGTGGGTATCAAGTTATGCATGTGTGTGAGGGATTTGGTTGGGGTGGGGTGTGTATGCTTGTGTTTGTGTGGGTGTGTTTGGGTGCATGAATGGAGGCCAGAAGTCAATGTATGATGTCTTCCTCACTCTCTCCTCGCCTTATTTTCTAAGACAGTTTCTTACTGAATCTAGAACTTATTTGGCTGCACTGACTGGCTGGGAAGCTCCAGAGACCCTCTTGCACTGGGGTTCAGGTGGCCAGCTGCTGCAGTGGACTTCTACGTGATTCTGAAGCTTGACCTCAGGTGACTATCATGTTACCGACAGAGGCTTCTTCCCACTCTCAGTCTCCTACTCTCTCTTTCATTTCAGACACAGTGTTACTCTGTGGACCTGGCTGGCCTCTAACTCTCTATGTAGACCAGGCCAGCCGTGAGTTTGCAGCAAGTCCCCTGACCAGGATTATAGGCATAGTCCACCAGTCTGTCCATCTCTACTTTTGTAGGCTGAGTTCTGCTTTTCTTTTCTTTCTTTCTTTTTTTTTTTTTTGAGACAAGATTTCTCTGTGTAGCTTTGGAGCCCTTTCTGGAACTTACTCTGTAGCCCAGGTTGGCCTCGAACTTACAGAGATCCACCTGCCTCTGCCTCCCGTGTGCTGGGAGTGCTGGAATTAAAGGCGTGCACCACCACCGCCAAGCGAGTTCTGCTTTTCAAAGTGAGTTGAGCTTGCCCTTCCAGACTCTCCATCTCACTGCATTGGTGGAAGACTCGGAGGAAGGTCTGCTGAAGGGTCCTGGGGCAGGCCTTCAGGTAAAGCATGCACTTAGCATACTTGAGGTTCAGGCCCCCAGCACACTGCCCCCTGCTGACCCCAGCTCAGTCACAGTTGGCATGAAATGCTGAAGGCCAGGCTTCATCTCAGAGGCTGGCTGAACGGATCCGGAGGGATCTCGTCACAGGGTGGGCATGCTGGGAGCGGTGGCTCCTTGGTTGGGTGGTGGAACAACTGGACCAGAGCCTCAGGGGAGCTGGCCAGGGAGGTCCGCCCTGTTCTGGTTGGCTGACCCTTGGGAAGTGCAGGGAGTTTCCAAGCTTGGTGGGGAGGGTCTGGGGGGTGGGAGGAGGAGCGGGGCAGAGTCCTCCAGGCAGGATGGCTGCTGTACTCAGGTCCTAGTCCCTCCCCACTGGGGTCAGAGGAGGTCAGAAGTGTCTCTAAGAACAGTGAGTTTTTCTGCTGTAGAATGCACAGGTACCCTCTCTCTCAGGCTTGCTCATGGCCATGGTGGGATATGGAGCTACTGGGTGTGTCTGGGTGTGTCTGGCCCTGTGTGGGCCTCAGCACACTCGTAAGGACTCGTGGGTCTGAGCAGCACCGATGTACAGATGCTTGTGACTGTGGGTTTTGTGACGGTGTGTGTGAGGGGGTTGTGAGTGCACAGGAATGTGCGTGGGTACAGGGCTGAGATCTTCCAGGGCTCTGGGCCAGGGTCGCCCACCCTTCCAGGGTCACCCACTCTTGTCACAGTCTTGCACCCCTTGTTCTTTCAACACCCCTGTGCTGCAGGTTAAGGCTGGCCCTTCCTAGGCCCCCTGTTTCCAGCCAGCCGGGGTGGAGGCTGCAGGCTACCCCTTTAGGCAGTTCCCCTGTTACCTCTCCCAGCCCCTCCCTCCTTCAGAGACTGGGGGACAGAGGACCCCCCCAGGGGGCCTAGTTGGAGGGGGGCTGATCTTGACCTCTAGAGTGCTTCAGGGTGATGAAAACATGGCAATGGGGACGACTTGGCTTGTTCCTGTCTACCCAACCAGCTCTTTTCTGTCTGACAGGCTGAGTAGCAGGAGCCTCCTTGGTCTGGTTGCTATGGCTGCCCATAGAGACTGTTGCTAGCTGGCAGGGGGAGGAGAAGGAAACAGGGACCATTCCTCCCCAGGGTCTCAGGGCACAGGGATGGGGAAACATCTAAAGCTGGCTCAGAAATCTGGGCCTCTTTGCTGAGATTAAAGTGAGGTTAGGCCCAGGAGGGTCAAGACAGTGCCTCATGGTCTCAAAGTGTGGCCCATAAGGCAACTTGGAAATGGCTTTGAGGATAGTGCGTCCTGCTGGCCTCCGAGGGAAGGAGTACTTCTGTGCCCCTGGTACATTCGTTGCTTTATGTGACATTCCCTGTACAAGGCCGCGTGAAGAAACTACGGACAAGGCTCCGTTTGGCAGGCCACGGTGAAGCGTTCCAGTTTCTTGATTTTCCACAGGACTAGGGAACTCATGTCTTGAGTCCTTGAGTTCCAACTGCCAGGAGACACCCCAAGCCTCTGGCTACCCTGTCCCTGAAGACAGCAGTGATGGGGGTGCGCATGCCTAGCAGGGTGGTTGGGGATCCTCGGTTAGCAGGAGCGATCTGCTTGCTGCAGCCTGGAGTAGCTAGGCTGCTGTTATGGCCCTGACCCAGGCTGATAGGCCCTTCCCTGCAAAGGCCAGCCCAGCCCATGTGCTTTATTACCCAGCTAATGATGGTGATTAGGCCGGCAAGGGCTGCAGCAGCCCAGCCCTCCTCAACCCAGCTTGCTGAGGAAGGGAGTGTCTGAGGAGTTGGGGGAGGCTCAGACAGTACCTGCATGGGCCCACCAACTCTGACTGGTGTTAGCCTGGCTGGTGTCCATCTGCCCTAAAAAAAGACAGGGCCAGCAAGCCTACCTGCCCCCGGGCAGGCAGTGTGACCTCAGTTTGCACCTGCCCCTCTGAGCAGGGCTAACAGGGTATAGAGTTGAGAGGGCACCGGCTGGATTTGGTGGCCCTCAAGAGGTTGAGGAAGGAGGATTACCGTGAGCTCAAGGCCAGCTTAGTCTACATCGTGAGTTCCAGGCCAGCCAGGGCTGCATGCAGAAACTGTCTCAAAACTCAAACCAATGAGCAGGCAGTGCCCTGTGTCCTGTAAAGCCTTCCGCAGCCAGGGCTGGGCTTCAGCTACCCATAGTAGCAGAGAAGATCCTTCTCACTGCCCTCCTGGGAGCCCATTGCATTGTTGGGGACTGTCCCCTGAGACCTTGTGTGTGTGTGTGGGCTCACGTGGTTTATGGCTGTACTTCATGTGTGAGGAATGCCAGCTTGCAGGGGCAGTTTGGGGGCAGAGCCTCTCTTAACACACCTCACTCCCCCTGGCATGTTCTGTCAGGATCCATGTCTCCTGGAGATGGCCATATTCTTTCCTGGCTGCTCTCCCTATGGGTCGGGTCCCCAGCTCTGTAAAGATGGTGAAGAGAATGAAATCTTTTCTGTTTTCACAGATGGTACCCCCCTTTTCATTTGAACACGAGGCAGATTGCAAATATCTTTTTTTTCTCTCTCTCTCTCCCTCTGCTGCAGAAGGGAATTGGGTAAGCCTTAGGAAACTCCCCAAATGAATCCCAGGCTTACATGGCACCAACCACACTGAGAGACTTAGGACAGACACAGAGATGGACTTCCAACCTAGGAGAGGTGTTGATGCTAGAATGGATGGTGATGTGGTATCATCCATCCTCACCTTGCCAGATACTGGTATCTGGGGTCTATGAGAGCGTGGCGTGGGATGGGGAAAGGAGGCAGATGCTGTATACTGTCTGGCTCTGGACTCTGAAGGCCACAGCAGGTTTGAGCCTGTTCCTATATGCCTATGTGTCTTATCTAGCTTCCTGTGGGCTGCCATTTTGGATGAGGGTCCATCTTTCTGAGCACCCGGTATGGGTCAGCCTGTCTCCTCCGGTCTAGTGGGACCGGTTTTTTTCCAGCCGGAGGAAGGGTCGGTGAGGAATTGGCAGGGGCAGAGGGTTTTATGTAAATGTCCAGGGAGTGCTCTGGGAACGGGGAGGCCGGTTTTCCCAAAGGCACGCAGAGACTGGCAGCTGCCAATTAGCCGCTGGTGAAGTCACTGCAGCTTTGCTGGGTGGCTGCGCCCACTCCAAACGGCCTGGCAGGGGGTGCGCGACCTCTGCTTCCAGGCCCTGAGCGCCGGGAAAATCACCAGGACTCTACTGAAAAAGTCTTTAATGAACCTTGGAGTTCCCGCTCCCAGGCGCCTCCAGCCCAGAGTTTCAATAAATACAGTGCAAAGAGGTCTGGAGGTTGGGAGACAGAGGGTGGGCGCTGTCACCATGCATAAAACCCCCCGAGGCGCCCTTAGGCCATACCACACACGCGCGTCCCGCACAGCACACGGAAACACGAGCATCTTCCTCTGTACCCGAGAGAGAGAGAGAGAGAGAGAGAGAGAGAGAGAGAGAGACAGAGAGAGAGAGAGAGAGAGACAGAGAGAGACAGAGAGAGAGAGAGACAGAGAGAGAGACAGAGAGAGAGACAGAGAGAGAGAGAGAGAGAGAGGGACAGAGAGAGAGAGAGAGACAGAGAGAGAGACAGAGAGAGAGAGACAGAGAGACAGAGAGACAGAGAGAGAGACAGAGAGAGACAGAGAGAGAGACAGAGAGAGAGAGCACACACACGATCTTTGCAGACACAGGAATACACGATTGCACATGCGCCGGCCGACTCTCCAACACTGGCCCGGGCCTTGGCGTTTGAGGCGCCCTCTCCTGGCTCTGAGGAGTGGCACCGGTGGGCTTTCCCCAGCAGAGCTAGGTGGTAGCCTAGTCTAGAGGCCTGGTACGGTGGAGTTGGACGGGCTGAGAAGGCACTGGCTTGTGTTGGAGTGGGCCCAGGAGGGGAACGTGTCCAGGTGGAAGATGGGGATACTCCAGCTGTTGATGGACAGTGTGATAGCCAGCACCCCGATGATATTGAGCAGGAATCCGGCACGGGCCTAGGGTGAGGCAAACCAACGTGAATCAGAGGCCACTCCTCAGCTGTCAGGGGTGCTCAGGACCCCTCCCATCAGCAAAGCCCTCCTTGGGAAGGTCCGGCCTTCAGTCTAAACTGCAGGGTTAGGCAATGTCTTTGTCACTTATCTGACTACCCATCCTAACAGGGAAAGTGGGGGTTCCTTGTAAGCTTCTGGGGCTTTGAGCCTTGTTTTCTCTTAGGCAATTTCATTAAGTGGGGGTGCGGCCCCTACCCCCCGCCCCCCCCCCGCCCCCGCCCCCGAACTTCCGAATGTCCCCTCCCTTCATTTGTGACCTGGGATTGTAGAACACAAAGATGACAGCTCCTGCTGTCCTCCCACCCTCAGGGCCAGCTCTTCTTTGGGAACCTCAGTGTCCTTCAGCTGCTTTATAGTACCTTGAGACAGGGCAGGTGGAGGGCTGGGGCACTCCGACCTGCTTGTCACTCACCATATCGGACACTTTGAGGCCTCCAAAGGAGAAGACAATGGCGTTGGGCGGCGTGGCCACGGGTAGCATGAAAGCCAGGGAGGCGGCCAGGGTGCAGGGCAGCATGACATAGAGGGGGTGAAGGCAGATGGCCTGTGCCTGGAGGGTGACAGTGGGTACAATTGATCCCGGTCCAGGCTCAGGGAGGAGGCCGGGTCCCAGTTCCTCTGTTTCTTCACTTTGTAGGGGGCTGCTCCACCCCTCCCCCTTCTTTCTGGTCATGAACCCAATTCCTGGGCAGAGTGCTCTGGGTGACCTGGAGAGGGCCCCTTGACCTCTTGGAGGAGATGAATGTGCTGCCCTGCCCTGTGGGGTTGCAGTGAGGGGAGGGGCCCATAAAACCAATCTCAAAGGGGCTGGGGAGGTGTCATCAAAGGCTGTGGGAACACACCTGAGGAGGAAGGGGCTGGGGGACGCTCCAGGGAGCAATTTTACCCCCATCACATCTGGAATGACCAGAACAGGGATTGGGTGGGGAGGTGGGTGAGGCCTCCAGCCAGCCCCACTGGGATACTCAGAGAGTGATGTCACTTGGGACAGGTGACTCAGAGGCCAGAAGGCCTTGGGACCTAAGAGCTCAACATCTGGAGAAGGGGGAACTTTAGGGAGGGGTGCTGTCTCTCTGTGCGGGAGAGGAGGTTTAGACCAGCCACTCTGACTAGTTGGGGGGGGGGGGCAGGGGGCGGGTAGAGAACAGGCAGGAGGGCTTCCTGGAGGAAGCTGCCGTGTCAGCTCACCATGGAGGCCAGGATGGGCAGGAAGAGCGTAGTGGTGGCCACATTACTGGTGCATTCGGTGAAGACGGCAATCAACAGACAGAGGATGACCGCTGTGGCTGATGGCGGTATGCGCTCCAGCGGGGTCAGTTTGTCTCCCAGCCACTCAGACAGCCCTGATCTCTGATGGCGGGAGGGGGGGTGACATAGATGAGGCAGAACGGCCCGGGGTCCCCAGGTCCTCAGCTGGAACTCTGGGAGGCCCTGGCCCTGCCCGCGCTTCGTGGCCCTCGAGTCAAACAACTCTGAAGGAAGTCAGTACCCAGCTAGGTCCAAGGGGGCTCGCTGTTGCTCCTTGGAACCAGTAGGATGGGAGGGGGGGAGGGGGGCGGAAGTTCTCGTGGGAAGCCTGGCGATTTGTGGTGTGACCACCTTGCTTTCCTGACTCTCTTGAAGCTCCTGGATCGCCTGAGCCCTCTCCCTGCCAAGCGTTAGGGCTGAAGGGACCTTGCTTTTGGTAGTGGTGGTGGGACTTGAAGAGACAGGGAAGAGGCTCTTGGGAAAATAGGTAAATCCCAGGGCAGGAAGAGCTCCCGGTCCGTCCCTGAGCTCTGCCATGCCAGGCTGTGGGATCTGATACTAATGCTATGCCCAGCGCTGAGTTCCTCTCTCCTCCACACCAAGCAAAGTGTCTGGCACAGTCTGTGGGTACACTAACCACAGACCCAGGAGTCTCCTGCATCAACCCTTAGCTCAGCAGGATCCGGAATTTCAGCTCCTTTGGATGGAGGGTCAAGAGAAAGACGCTCCGGTTCCTGGAAGACTGTTGTCTTGCGCCCCCTGGAGGCTGCATCTGGTACTGCTTTAAGCCGATGCTAGCATTGCGGGTGCTCAGGCTTATCGCATTGGCTTCAGGAATACTTGACTGGTGTGCGGGTGGGGTGCATCGCTGAGAAAGGCCTACTCTTCTTTGGGCTTCAAGAACCCAGCTGGGGAAAGGTACCTAAGGCTGGTGTGGGACTATCCCAGGGTTTCCCTCAGACAGGCTCTCACCTCACTGCCTTTGGCCAGGGCAAAGCCCCCACCCAGCAAGATCACGACATTCCAGGGCATCTTATCGTTCACTGTCTTCCAGGTGAGGATGGCAGGAGGAGCCTTCAGCTTCCCTGGTTTTTCTACTCCCCAAGCAGACAAGGGTGGTCACCAAAAGTCAGAAGGCTTTCCCTCCCCGCCACTTGAGGCCTTCCTGAGTGGGTTCCTATCAAGTGGGTTCCTATTAAGCAGGTAGAAGGGTGTCCCTCAGTCTCCATCCCTGTAGTAACCCAACTCTGTCCCCAGGTCCCTGTGTCTTGGCAGGTCACCCCAACCCTCTAGGCTTTGCTAGCTCCTGCCGATGTGGTAGAAGGCAGTAGACTATATACCTGCAGGCAGGGGCCGCCGGAGACCCTTCCCAGCCCCGGGTTAGGTGCTTACTTGGGTCCTGGGTCAGTCCTGGAATCTTGGAGGGCATGATGAACATAACCAGGCTGATGAAGATGGCCACTGTCCCATCTGATGCCATGCTGTGGGAGGGGTAGGAAGGAAGACTGAGTGGAGGACAGAGAAGAGTCCCTGCCGCCAACATGCCTGGTGAGAGGCCCCAGGGGAGACATCTTGTCCCTCTCAACTCTCTGCCCTTCTTCTGCCTTCCTTTCCTTGCTCTCTAGTGTGGAGTCCCGGGGAGTCTCCCCTCCTGCCCCCTGGCAGGTCTCACCTTTGCCCATTTTCGTTGGCGAAAAGCATGTCACCCCAGCCTTGGAAGAAGCCTGGCTCTCTGGTGAACCAGAGCACCACCAGAATAATAAAGAGGACGGTGACGGTGATCTCTGCAAAACTCATGGGGCCCAGCAGCTTGTGCTGGGTCTTGATGACCTGGAAGGCTGCTTGTTTTTGCTCTTCCTCCCCTTCCCCAAAGCCAAAGTTCTTCCGGAAGCTGCAGGCAGAATCGGGGGGCAGTGTGTGAAGGGTCTGTACCTGGCATGGGGCAAAACCCTAAGCTCTAGAAGAGAGTCCAAGACCCAGAGAGGCATCATGGCATGGTACCTCCCCACTCCCCACCCCAACAGGGTCTCACATAGCCCAGGCTGACCTTGATTTCCAGGCTTACATTATCATGCCCAGATTATGTGGGACTGGAGCCAAACCCAGGTTTCATGCATGCTAGGTAAACGCTCTACTGTCTTACATTTCTTTTTTTTTTTTTTTTTTTTTTTGGTTTTTCGAGACAGGGTTTCTCTGTGTAGCTTTGCGCCTTTCCTGGAACTCACTTGGTAGCCCAGGCTGGCCTCGAACTCACAGAGATCCGCCTGGCTCTGCCTCCCGAGTGCTGGGATTATAGGCGTGCGCCACCACCGCCCGGCCCCTGTCTTACATTTCTAACCCTTTGTTTTGTTTTCAGCCCGAGCTGGTCTCCATCTTCTGATCCTCCTGTCTCAGCCTCCTGAGCGCTGGGGTTATAGGTGTGTGCCACCATTCCCAGCTTGGGATTGTGTTTTTTTTTTCTTCAACAAGAAAGCTAGATTTTCTTCATCTTCCCTGTGATCACCCTTCCTCTGAAGGGTCTCTTGTGCTGAGACCTTTCTGCCCAGAGTGAGATGGATGTGTGGCCCAGACTCGAGTGTCCTTCAGGTCCTGATTCTGAGCTTCCCTTCTCATGAATGTTCCAGAAACTGCTCCCTTCCCTCCCTGGGTATCCCTGCCAGCCTCAGCAATACCTTCATAGTCCTTAGCCTTTCAGAAGGCTTCGCCCACCTCCTTGTGCTGTTGCTTTAACTCCTACTGGCATTTAGCTTTCCACTTGGATAAATCTTATCACCCGCTGGTCTGTGAGTTTCTCTGGGCAAAGACCATGTTCCACACATCCCTGACTCCTCACAGAATCCAACCCTGTGCTGACTTCATCAACTCCTCCCTTGCCTCACACCAGTTCCCAACCTCAATCCAGCCTCCCTGCACCTGCCCAAGTGATCTGTTCAAAGTACAGCTTAACAACTTGCTGTGGCTCCCCTCTGCCTGGAAAGGATGGATGAATAATGGCTCACACCCCAGTAATACTCAGATCACCCACTCTGGTCTGTGTGCCCAGTTGACATCACTAAGTGATTACAGACTTGAGTTCAGCTGAGCCTTAGCAGAGTCTCTGACTATTTACTTCACTTTAGGGGTTTTAAAAAATTATTTATTTTATTTTATTTTATTTTCCGGAGCTGAGGACTGAGCCCAGGGCCTTGTGCTTGCTAGGCAAGTGCTCTACCACTGAGCTAAATCCCCAACCCCAGGGTTTTTTGTTTGTTTGTTTGTTTGTTTTTTGTTTTTTTGAGACAGTGTTTCTCTGTGTAGCTTTGGTGCCTGTCCTGGATCTCACTCTGTAGACCAGGCTGGCCTCGAACTCACAGAGATCTGCCTGGCTCTGCCTCCCGAGTGCTGGGATTAAAGGCATGAGCCACTGCTGCCTGGCTCATTTTAGGTTTCTAAGACAGGACTTTATGTAAGTAACCCAGGCTGGCCTTGAACTCACAATCCTCCTGCCTCAGCTCCCCAGGTATTGAGATGACAGGTATGTACCAGTTACCTAATCCTTCTCAACACAGGTCTCCAAACTGGAAGGAGGAGTGAGTAACTCAGGGTTGCACGTAGAATAAAATTTACCTCCTTATCTTGGCCTCAAGGACAAGGTCCCAACTCTATGTGACACACAAAGTCCTCTGTGATTGTCCCCTGACAGCCTCTTGCATTTCATTTTTCTCTTTGCACTTCAACCCCCCGGGAAGCAGCATTTTCAGACACACCCAGGTCTTTCCGGCCTCTGTGCTTCATGCCTCTCCTGCCTGGATGCCTTCCCCCACTTCTATACCTGGCTTCTATCAGTCCTGTAAGAATCAACTCAGACCCATGTCCAGGAACTTCTGGAGTGCCTGCCCCCTGTGCCCCCCTCCCTTATGGCTCCCACTGCATCACCACTCATCAGGGCAAGGACAGAGACTGCCTAAGGTGTAGGAGTCCTAGTGTCCAGTCCATGAACAGGCAAACAGAAGGCTCACCTCAAATGCTTCTCTAACTGACTGTGTGGAATCCCCAAGTGCCCATCCTAGGACCATGGAGCATTATGGGAAGGCGCCTGACTGGTGGGGTTGGGGATCGGGGCAACAGGAGATGTGGTTTTTAGGTCTGGAAAGACGGTTTAGTCAGTAAGATGCTTGCCATGTAAGCGTCAAGATCTGAGTTCAGGCCCCAGCCCTTATACATAAAAAATGGCACCAGGAATGCAGAGACCAAAGGGTCCCTGGGGCTCATTGGCTAGTCATTGAAACCTGAATGAGTTCTAGGTTCATTGAGAGACCCTGTCTCAAAAAATAAGGGGGAAAATGATTGAGGACAGCTAATGTCAACCTCTAGTCATCCTACACACTAATATAAACATGTGCACATGCACCTGTCCATACATAAGAACACACACACACACACACACACACACACACACACACACACACACACACACACAGAGACATGATTTTCAATCCCAGAATTCACCATTCCTCCAGACTCAGCTTGCCCATTCCCTGGCATGGGAAGCCAAGCCATTAGAGAGGGAGAGGGCTTCTCATGGCGTGGTCCCCACCTTGTTTGGATGAGCCAGAGGCTCCCAGGGGTGCAGGAGACTGGGCTTCTCTTACCTATGGCACCACTTACTTGAAACCCAGGAAGAGGACCTGCAGCCATATCCAAGCCAACATCAGCAAGATGATCATGGTGGGGAAGGCAAAACTGAACCAGGAAGCAAAGTTCACCACATTGCCATTTTTGGGGAAGAGCCTGATGAAGAGGACATGGACTGTTGTGTGACATCGTCCCTGAAACTGCCTGGTCCCATTTTCCCCTGAGCAAGAGTGCAAGTCCCCATTCATCATGCCCTCCCCCAGTTCAGGCACTCACGAGTTCACCTGGCCTTGGAGCACCAGGTTAGGGGTGGTGCCCGTCAGGGTAGCGATGCCCCCGATGCTGGCCGAGTAACAAATGCACAGGCTCAGGCCCTGGCTGAAGCGGAGATGGTCCTGGGTCTTCTGTACTCTTGACTCCGAAGAGGCAGATACAGCCTGTCCATTATCTATGAACAAGGGAAAGCACATGGGGACAGGTGCAAGGCTAACTGCAGGAATCCTGGCTGGGTCCTGTGGCCTCCAGGGCCCCTGGGCAGTGAACAGATGGACTTGAGTTGCCAGGGGGACAGAGACTGTGCCCAGATTCCGGCATTCTCTGGAGCTTTGGGTTGGGAGTGTTCTCAGACACAATCTGGTTCAACTTCTCTTGGGAAACTGAGGCATAGAGAGGCAAAGAGGGTTACCTAGACCAAGCAGGAGGGATGAAGCCCAGAGCATTTCCTGTTCCCCAGACTTCAGCCCACTTCTCACCAAACTCTTGGATTGCTAGGAATGAAGGATGTGCTAGCACAGGACGCTTAGCTTTGTGGTCAGTATTTATTATTGTTGTTGCTGTTATTATTACTATTTTGTGGTGCTGAGGATAGAATCCAGTGTCTCACACATGCTACATCCCTAGCCCATGGATTTTGGCATTTAATATTTTTGGAACATTACTACTACTACTACTACTACTACTACTACTACTACTACTACCACTACTACTACTACACACATGCATGCACACACACACACACACACACACACACACACACACACACACACACACCACGGTGCACATATGGAAGTCAGAGGACAGCTTTCAGGAGTCAGTTCTCTCTTTCCATCATGTAGGTCCTGGGGCTCAAATTCAGATCTTTAAGCTTGGTGGCAGGCACCATTACCTCCTGACATATCTCAGCAGACTCCACTGGCATTTTTTTTTTTTTTTTTTTTTTTTTTTTTTTTTTTTTTTTGGTTTTTCGAGACAGGGTTTCTCTGTGTAGCTTTGCGCCTTTCCTGGTACTCGCTTTGGAGACCAGGCTGGCCTCGAACTCACAGAGATCCACCTGGCTCTGCCTCCCGAGTGCTGGGATTAAAGGCGTGCGCCACCACCGCCCGGCTCCACTGGCATTTTAAATGTGGGAAAGCCTCAGGAAGACCTGGATGGGTTGGTCACTTGCCTGTCTCTTTCCCCATGGGCCTCTGGGAATAGCAGTCATGTCTGGGGGCAAGGTCTACTTCAGGTCTGGGGGTGGGGTCTGCTTCAGGTCTCTTACCAAGTTTGGTCACCTCCTTCTGGGGACTTGCTTCCTGGAGCTCAAAGGCAGGGTTGTCAGTGCCTTCCTCCACATCCTTCTGTGAGCCTTGAAGCTGCTCTAGAACCGCGTGCCCGATGGGCAACATCATGGCTGTGGTGGCCGTGTTGCTAATCCACATGGAGAGGAAGGCCGTGACCAGCATGAAGCCCAGAAGCAGTCTAGAGGCAAACAGACAGACACACCGCCATTCCAGCTTCCTTCAAGACATGGGATACCGGTATGTTTCTCCCATCCAGAATCACACAGACTCACAGGGCAGGCCGCACTCCAACGATAAGGAGCACTCGGAGGGCAATGCGTTTGTGCAGGTTCCAATGTTCCACGGCGATGGCCACCATCAGCCCCCCAAAGAACAGTACGTTGGTGTCTTTGAAGTACTCTACGCAGACCTGGGGAGTGAGGATGTATCTGAGACTCTGGGGTCTCCTCCCTGATACCACCAAGCTTATGCGGAACAGTCACGACATCCTCACAAACTGGTATTCCCCGGGGATCTCAGAACCAAATGGAAATGGCCTTTGGACAATCAGTCACTCAACAGGAGCCAGGTTCCTGCCAAGCTCACCACTTTTGTCCTCTCCAAGACTGGGAGGCTGTAGCCTGAATCCAGGTGCTTGGAAGAGAACTAGTTCCCTGCTCTTTCTGGACAGTATGTGTGGTCTCTACCAGTATCATCCCTATCACCTGAGACTTGTTATAAACAAAATGCTCAACCAGGCCTGGTAGCTCTGCTGAAACCCCAGGAACAGGAAGAATTCTGGGCTAGCCTGGGCTACACGGCAACACCCAGTGTTAAAATGGAGGAAGAATAAGAGAAGGAAGAAGATGGGGAAGAGGAAGCAAAAAAGAAGAGAAAGAATGGGGGAGGGGGAAGAGGAGGAAAAAGAAAGAGGCGGGTTAAGATGGAGATGAAAACCCTTTTAGATCCGAGTCAGCCCAGAGGTAGGCCTGTCTGTCTGTTTTGCTCCTCAGTCCAGGGCGTTCTGGTGTGATTCAAACTTAAGAGCCATTACATTACAAGTATATAGTCGGGGGCTGGAGAGTCGGGGGCTGGAGGGTCGGCTCAGCAGTTAAGAGCACTCACTGCTCTTCCAGAGGACCTGAATTCGGTTCTTAGTGCCCACATCACAGCTCACAACCATCTTTAACCCCAGTTCCAGGGGACCCAGTCTCCTCTTCTGATCTCTGAGGGTACCAGGCACAAATGTGATGCACATACATACATACACACAGATGAAATACACACATCCAATACATAAATCTTTAAATATCTATCTATCTATCTATCTATCTATCTATCTATCTATCTATCTATCTAGCTGGCCCTCTGTTAGACTTTTGTATATGGGGTCTGCCATCATGGATGAGGCACCCTTGTACAGAAAACACTCAGGCAGAAATTGCATCTATACTGAATGTGTACAGACTTTCCTCTTCATTATTTTCTTTAAAATTTGTTTTACATTTATTTACTTGTGTGTGTGTGTGTGTGTGTGTGTGTGTGTGTGTGTGTGTACATGTACCATGGCTAGAGTGTGGAGGTCAGAAGATATCTTGCAGGAGTCGGTCTCTTCCTCCACTAAGTGGATCCCAGGCATTGAACTCACGGTGTGAGGCCAGGCAGCAAGTGCCTTTATCTGCTGAGCCACCTCCTCAACCCTGTTTTCTAAACAATACATTATAGCAATGATTGACTTATATTTGGGTATCACAAGGAGGGTGTTTGAGGCTCTATGAAAACATCTTAAGTAAGAGAATTGAGAATCCTGGGCTCTTGACATCTAAAGGGTGTCTTAGAAAAAACCCTCACTTTGTCTCTGTGGACACAGAGACAGATGGCAGTTTATCTTTTTGTTTGCTTTTGACAGGGTCTACCTAGATATCCCAGGTTGGTCTTGAACTTAAGATCCTCCTGTTTCAGCCTCCCAGTGCCAGGCTTGCAGCAATGTGCTAGCAGAACCAGTTGTTGGGGGAGTTCTTCCGTTGGCTTTCATCGCCAACTTGTTGCAGGCTTTGTACCTGTCTGGCAAGGTTCATCCCTCCTTTTGTGAAGGAACTCTCACAACAACCACATGTGTTTCTAGAATACTCTCTGCTTCCTCACTGATTGTCTCCTACACCCTGTGCCTTCTTCCATGACCTTGTGAAGTGGCTTCTTTGGTTCCAAGGCTCTAGGGAAGATTCCCCCCTTCCCTGTAGCCTTTCCACCTGTGGATGGGGGTGCTCACCTCAGAGGCATCCATGACACCCATCAGGGGGAAGAGGATGATGGGGAATAGGGCCGTGACAGCCAGGGGCAGGGCCTCGGTACACCACAGCAGTGCCATGAGGATGATGGAGTAAGCACAGTAGGCTTCCTGTGGGCAGGGGGAGAGAGGGAGAGAGAGGGGTTAGAAGGTGAGCTGCATTCCCTTCTGCCCTCCAGAGAAAGCAGGCCATCTGTACCAGCATGAGGAGAGTTTGGGAATGCTTGATTCCCAAGTCCAAGGTCCCCATCTCAAAATGGAAATAAACAAAGAGAAGCTAGGGATGTGGTTCAGTTGGTGGAGTGTTCTAGCACGCATAGTGCATTGTATATAATCCCAAACACCACACAGCCTGTAAGACCCAGCATTCAGGAGGTAGAGGCAAGCTGCTCAGGAGTTCAAACTCATCCTTGGCTACATAGCAAGTTTGAGGACAGCCCAGACTAGACATGAGATACTATCTCGAGTTTGGGTTCATTCATCTTTGTTGTTATTTGTTTTGAAATAGAGTCTCGCTGTGTAGCACTGGCTAGCCTGGAGCTCACTATGTAGACCAGGCTGGTCTTAAACTCACAGAGGTCTCCTTGCTTCTGCCTCCTACGAGCTGGGATTAAAGGTGTGTGCCACCAATGAGACTCCGTGCCAAACAAAAGAAGACAAAGTGTCCTCTTGTCTTTCAGCTTGGGGCCTGGGCATTTTAACAGGCCTCGTGTAGCTCAAGAAGACTCCAAGGTTCCCGGGGAGGCAGCTGAGAAGAGGGTTGTGGGAGGAAAGCATCCCGCCCAGGACCTTGATCCTCTTCGTCTCATGTTTACTTCTTTATTTAGTGGTTCTTGGGTTGGAGTTGAACTTGGGGCCTTGTGCATGCTAGGCAAGCCTTCTGCCTCTGAGCTCTACCCCATGACAGGGTCAGCTTGGTGGCATCTGGATCCTTGGAGCCTCAGTTTTGAAGCTAATCTTGTCCAAGGGAAGGAATCTACTGGAGTTTTGGGAGGAAGATCTGCCTCTTGCTTGGGCTGCTCAGCACCCAAACCAAGGCACAGTTCAATTTTACAGTTTATTTGAGAGCTTCTCCTGTCCTTGCATTGTGCAAAGAATTTGGGGTGACTCTGAGGCACAGACTTTGGGTACCAGAAATTCCCCCCTTTCCTTCTTTAGGCCCACAGGTCCTGACCTCAAGCCTAGACTAGAAGGAGCCAGACATGGGCCCAAGACATCAGGGGTCCAGCCTCCTTGGCCTAGCCTCTCCCAGGGCCAGGGAATGATTAGCCAGAGGGAGGCCTCTGGGCAGGTGTGCCTGCCCAGACTGTTTGCTGAGGAAGGAACAGCGGGGGGGGGGGGGGGGGGGGGGGGGGGGTATAGGCTGTGGGCCAGGACCCTCCTCTCTTATCCATCCAACTGTTTGCCTTCTTTTTTCACTAGGCTCGCCCTTAGCACCCCGAAGCCTTGGTACTCTGATGCTGGGAGAGAGTTTCTTGGAGAGTGAGGAGGAGAGGACCGAGGGAAGAGGAAGTTGTTATTGAGCAACTTTTAGGACTTCTGGGTTGAAAACATAAGCACCATTAAGGTGGGTGTGGTGGTCTCACTTTATGGATATGCCCGAGAGCAAGCGGCTTGCTCAAGGTCTCAGGAGAGCTAAGGAGTGGCAGAGTTAGGACAGGCACTCGGGTTGAGTGGCAGGATTGCATAAGGCCAAGGGCTCCAGACAACACGCCCTTGGAAATAGATAGGAAGGTGCTCGCTCTTGGAGCTGCACCGTGTGCCATGCTCTTGACTGTCTCTGGGCAAGCTCTCATTTATTTAGTGATGCCAGGTATTGATTGAACACTCAACCTCTACCCCTTCTACACTGGACCTGAACTCGTTAGCTCAGGGGTAGGTCCCCATGACCCTTGACCAGAGATCCACCTCCTTTCTCGACCAGCTGGTTTCTGCTGATGCCAGTTTTTTCTTGCTCCGCTGTACTTGCCCCGGACAGACAACTGCCTACCCACCCCTTGGACTAAGGGCAGGCCATCCCCTCTGGACCCTTGTGGCTCCAACCCTAGAACTGTCTGGCCAGAGACAGAAGGAGGTTAGGGGTCACCACTGCTGATTCCAGAAGACTGCCCTGGGAGCATCCCAAGCCGTCTCCCTGCCAAGCCCCGTGACCTGTGGGTTTTGAATGCTTTTCAGTAACATTCAGTTGTTCCTTGAGGTTCCAAATGCTCTCCCCAGTTCACAGATGAAAAGATAAAGATGCAGCCAGTCAGTGGTGGTGGACACCCTTAATCCTAGTGCTTGGGAGGCAGAGGCAGGCAGATCTCTGAGTTCAAGGCCAGCCTGGTCTACAGAGTGAGTCCCAGGACAGTCAAGGCTCCACAGAAAAACCCTGTCTCAAAAAACCAAAAACCAAACCCAAACAAAACACCCCCCCAAAAAAAAAGAAAGAAAAGAAAAGAGAAAGATGCAGATTAATTAGGTCAACACGTTAAAGTCACGCAAATAGTAAGTAGGCAGACCAGGCCATCTGGGTCTTGAGGGTCAATTTTACCCTCCACCAATGCTCAGTTCTTCCCCTTTGCAGGAAGTTCAGACACCCTGTGACTGGAGAGGTAGAGGCACAAACTGGAGTTCTGAAACCAAATCATCACCTTCTCAGGGCCGGCCACCTCCTATTGCCTGGATTTAACAAGGGGCTTTGCTTTGCGCTCTCTCTGTCTCTGTCTCTGTCTCTGTCTCTGTCTCTCTCTGTCTCTGTGTGTGCACACGTGCGTGTGCGTGTGTGTGTGTGTGTGTGTGTGTGTGTGTGTGTGTGTGTGTGTGTGTGAAGGCTAGAGGTCAACATCCAGTGCTGTTCCTCAGGAGCCATCTACCTTATGTTTTGAACCTGGTTTTCTCACTGGCCTGCAGCTTACCTGTAGGCTTGGCTGGCTGGCCAGTGAGCCCCAGGGATCCCATCTCCACTTCCCAGCACTTGGGTTACACCATGCCTGGATTTTTTTTTAAAGTTTATTTATTTATCATGTATAATACAGTGTTCTGCCTGCATGTATGCCTGCAGTCCGAAGGGGAAATCTGATCTCATTACGGATGGTGATGAGCCACCATGTGGTTGCTGAGAATTGAACTCAGGACCTCTGGAAGAGCAGCCATTGCCCTTAACCACTGAACCATCTCTCCAGCTCATGCCTGGATTTTTATGTGGGTGCTAGGGATCAAATTTGTGTCAAGCCCTCACCCAGTATGGGGGTGCCTCATGCTTGTAATCTCAGCATTTGGGAGACTGAGGCATACTCCAGGGCCCATGCCACCCTCCTGCCTAAGCCTTCTGATGTATGCCAGCACACCCAGGTGAGGTGCTTCATTTTTGAGACCTCATGATCACACTGTCAAGGTGCAGCCTGGAGAGCTCAGGGCACCTGTATGTTTAGCGCGTGGCTCCTACCCTCACCCTTGATGGCTGTGCCAGTGTATCTGTTCTCAAAGCCCCACCTTGGCCCTGGTGACTTTAGACCTGTGTCCCTGATCCACCTCCCTAGCAGTTTGCCAAAGCATAGTGAACCTTGCTCGCTTGTTCCTCCTGGATTATGGGTTCCCAGCTGGGATGTGGAATCCTGGGGATCCACGAACTTAGATGGAAGAACTATGCTGTCTCTCTGGGAGCATCTTGTGAAGATTATGAGCATAGCCAGCAAGGTCAGCAGAGATTGTCCTGGCTCACAGATGGCTCCATTGTGGGCCCTCTGTATTATAATGTTCGAACTGATAAGCATTCACTAGAAACCATACCTTACTACACCTTACCATGAATTGCCATACCTTACGAAACCTTATAACACCTTACCAGATATCATCATACCTTGCTACATCTTAGCATACCTTACCATACTTTGCCTCACCTTACCATACTTTGCCCTACCTTACCATCCCTTACCATACATTACCACATCTTACCATATTTTGCCACACCTCACTGTACCTTACCACACCTTACCATACTTTACCACACCTTACCATGTTTTACCATACCTTACCATATTTTACCATCCCTTACCATACCTTATTACACCTTACCATACTTTGCCACACTTTACCATACTGTACCATACCTCACCACACCTTACCATACTTTGCCACACCTTATCATTCTTTACCACACCTTATCTACTTACCATACCTTACCCTACCTTACTTACCACACCTTACCATACTTTGCTATACCCTCCCATACCAACACATTTTACCACGTAGGCTTCGTGCCAGCGTGGCGGTGCATGTGTCTAAGCCTAGTATTTGCGTGGTAGGCAGAAGGGTCAGGATTTTAAGGCCATACTCGGCTACATAGGGAGTTCCAGGCAAGCCTGGGCTACTTGAGACCTTTACTTAAAGCAAAACAAAAACAAACAAACAGTCACATAGGGCCAGAGAGATGGCCGAGTGGGCGAAAGCACTCGATGTCAAGCCTGATGATCTGAGTTCGAAACCTGGAATCCACATGGTGGAAAGAGAGAGCACAAATTGTTCCCTGACCTCCACGTGTACCACGACACACATGTGTGCATACACACAATATATAAACAGACACATAAATAGAAAATAACTCAAAATCCAACAACAAAAATGTAGGCTTTGTGTTGGATGAATTTACCCATGTAGACAAATGACGTGTTCTGCGCATGTCTGAGGTAGGTGAGACAGTTGTCCACGTTAGCTTGTGTTTCAACTAAAAACAAGTTTATGGTCGGGCGGTGGCAGCACAAGCCTTTAATCCCAGCACTCGGGAGGTAGAGGTAGGCAGATCTCTGTGAATCTGAGACCAGCCTGGTCTACAGGGCAAGTTCCAGGACAGCCAGGACTACACAGAGAAAACCTTGTTTCAAAACAAACCAAACAACAACAACAGCAAAAGGAAAACAGGTTTATGAAGCTGAGACTCACCTGCACTATTTTCACTTTTTGTGTGCATAAGTTCTTGTGTGTGTGTGTGTGTGTGTGTGTGTGTGTGTGTGTGATTGAATGTCTTCCTCAGTTGCTCTGTGACTTAGGTTTCTCAGACAGGGTCTCTCACTGAACCTGGACCTTGCTGACTCAGCTAGACTGGCCAGGCACCTAACCTCAGGGATCCTGTC